ATGAAAGAGTTAAAGACACAGGTGGTTCCAAATCTTAGTAAAATCAAAAATAATACATACATGGGAGAAAAGTTTACAAAGTACAAACAAAAAATTAAATTAGTGCTTTTTGACATTCCTTAACACATAAACAAAAATCCAAATTTATTACCCATTTATAGTTTGCTAAAATATTTTAGTATTACTTCTCACACTTGGTAGATATAAAAGTCCAGGAACTGATTTCTGCCATTCTTTAGTGCAAAGTATTTTAAGGTTTTTCATATATGCTGATTTCTCAGATTCTTTACCTATAGAGTAGTAGTAACCTGAGAGCATTAAATGCAAACTAATCTAATTCACCCAAATAATTGACTATTATGTAGCACGAAAATCTGCATAAAAGCAGATTTTAAAAAAATCATGAGATCAACAATTCACCTGTTAATAGAAATACTATTCAATGCTATGCTTCTTTTTAAAGCATTTATAAAACTGTTTTATAAATTAGATTAACTCAGTAATATAGCGTCCACTCTCATTGGAATTTTACTAACCCAAACCAGGCAGCAATCTTCTGGATATACTAAGTCACTAATAATAATAATAATAATAATAATAATAATAATAGTGATACACCAAGCAGACGCCAAGAAAAAGTGTTCACATGTCTCAACTGACAAATTTTGTCAGAAATGTTGCGTTATTCACTGGGGTCGACCGGGACGCTCTGACCCTTTTACCCCAAGTGCCCCCGCAGTCTCCACAGATACATGGCGCCTGCAGCAGGAGTTACGAGGCGTATTTTATCTCCAGCAGCCTAATGGGCAAAGGGGAAGCAGAAGGGCTGGGAATAGTTTTGAAGACCCTTCTCAGGAACAGCGAGAGGTGCAGCTAATTCCACATTTCCCACGAGAGGGGGAAAGGAGCCAATTTAGTGAGCTGCACGAGTTATCAAGGGCCAAATTTCTGAGGCTTAGATTCACAGAAACAGTACTGAAATTCTCGGCCTGCTTTCCGCGCTGGACACAGAAAATAATTCTAATTACATACCTAACCTGAGGCGCCAAAAAATAAAAAAGGAAAAAGGGGGGGGAAACGCGGGAAAACGCGGTTTTCTCCACGACAGGGAAGGATTCGTTGCGCGCGTCGCCACTACGTCAGAGAGCGCATGCGCAGGGCCGCCCCCGGGGCCTGCCGGGAGCTGAGCGCGGGAGTTCCTGCCGGATGTGACGTCCGGGCTTGGGCCGCGCATCCACCGGGCGCACGTGTCTCAGGCGCTGTGAGGACAGGAATCCGACTGAGCCTGGTGTAGGTTTCACACTCGGGAGCCCCCGCGGTTACTGTCATTGAGTGCCCGACTGCCCTCGACGCGCACAAGGAAGAGTACCATCCTAGCTTCAATGGGGATGACACCTGACGTCAGTCTCCTGAGGGTAAGAGCCGAGGGGGCCAGGCGAGCTCACGGGGCTGCCTGAGGACACGCAGCTGTTTGTCCTGGGAAATGCGGGGAGTGCCGACTGGGCAACACAGGCCTTCTTAATTTCAGAAAACGTTCCCCCAAATTGTGATAACTAAAATCGGACAGCTATCACCTCCGTAATGAGGTGAGGTAGATTCTGCCATTTTATTTTTTTGTCCATCTTGAAATAAACATATTTCCAGCTTGTCACATCTTCTATATAGATTTAAAGAAAATAGAATTTTCCTTGATTGAGAGTCTGCATTATGAACATTCATTACTGAGCTTGAAATGAAGCAAGAGGATCAGGCGCCAGTTTTAAAAAATATCTTTATTGATTTCAGAGAGAGGGAGAGGGGAGATAGAAACATCAACGATGAGTCATTGATCAGCCTCCTGCACTCCGGGGCTGGGGATATAGCCTGCAACCCAGGCATCTGCCTTGACTGGGAATCGAACCTTGACCTTCTGGATCCTAGGTTGACGCTCAACCGCTGAGCCACGCCCACCAGGCAGACACCAGTTTTGTGTCCTACCTGTGTGCTCTCCTGGACCAGCTTATGATTGTTTAACTGTACCCACTTGACCCTAATACTTTCATATGTTACTTTCTCTTCTGTTCTGTATTAACTGTATGATTTTTATTTTCCTTGATAGAGTGTATTAGAATTCATTTTAGAAATTAAGCTGAGGAGGGCTTGAGGAGTCCTCCGGATATAAGCCTTAATGCTGTCCTTTGTAGCCACCTTTCCAAATGACATGACTCCAGTATCAATTTGTAACGGACACAATCCAATGAATCCGCAACATGCTGGATACCAAGCCCTGCAAACCCTTTACTGGTTGTGAATCTGTAATACTAAACCTTTCTTTTTTAAACAAAAACCTATCCTAATTAAACAACTTTCTACTAAGTTTGTGCGTGTTTTGCAACTTGTCCACAGTAATTAGAAAATGTCCTCTTGGCCTTTGTGTACATTAACTAAAATGTCTGTCTTCTGAGAATTTAGAGAGGTAACTTAATTCTTGTGGTACAAATTGGATGCAACAAAAAAGTGGAGGTTCATGTGTAAAACATGTTTTCCTTAACATCTATTTTTGGCTATCTGAGCCTTTTGTGCATTTTCTGGATTTGACTATAACTTTGTGATCCTAGCCAAGGTACCTTTGTTCTGCAATATCCCTTCCTCCTTCGTTAAGATCATCCCACTGATTCCCAAAACCTAGTGTCCCCCACACCATTTTGTTTCCAATTTCTAACCCATTTAGCTAAAAGCCTGTAGGAGTTACTATATTATCTTCCTGGCGGGGGGGCGGGCTACAAAGTCTTAATATCACAGTAGCCTGGAACACCAGGAACTAACCTGCTTCTTGGTGGCATGTGTCCTGTTCTCTTATAGCATACATAAACCCTTCCCTGGCCTGCTTCTAGGGCGCTTCTGGATATGAGTCCACTTAAATCAATCAAGGCTGAGATACAGAGATCCATTCACCAAAGTTTTTAAAATATTAGTTTTTATTATTAAATACCAAGCATATCAAAATGTATGAATGACCATCACTTGGCTTCAATAAACCCAAACTTTCCTCACATTTGATATATTTTAATGAACACAATACAGATACAATTGAAGGCTCACCTCAACCCCATTTTCCTCCTACCTCTCCAGAGGTAAAAGAAGCCAAATTCAGGTGTTTATCATTCTCATACATGTTTTTAGTATATGTGTACACATCAGTCTTTGTCTTCATGTTCTAAAACGACTAAATCTTATAGCACATATAACTTGGCCATTTTAACTCATCATTGTTTTTGAGATGTTGTCAAGTTAATGCATGTACTTTGTATTAATTTATTTTAACAGCCAAATACTATAAATATACCACAATTTATTTACCCATTTTCTAGTGGACATTGGTTCCCAGTTTTTACAATTAAAAACAATACTGAAATGAATTTTCAGTACACGTCTCCTTGAGTACACATGCCAAGAATTCTTGTAGAATGTAATACCCAGAGACTGGGTTAGTATATAAGCATCTTCAAGTAAACTAGCTGTTGCCAAACCACTCTCCAAAGTATAACTTAAATTTCACTGCCACCAGCAAAGATGAGATCCCATTGCTCCAGACTCATCAGTATGTGGAAGTGTCAGGTTTTTGTTTTAATTTTTGCCCATCTGATGGCAGTGAAATGAAATCTCAATGTTTTAATTTGTAACTCTTTGATTACTAGTAAGATTAAACTACTCAAGAGTCCTCATCTGTGACTTGCCCATTTATATTCTTTGATCATTTCCTTGATTTATATGGAATCCTTTGTCAGTTACATGGCATGAAAACATAAGTTTTAATTTTACTGTACACAAACACCAATTTTTCCTTTTGTGCTTCTCTATTCCAATGTCATATTCTTTGCTTTTCTATCAATTTGAAGTTCTCCTTTTGATCTTTATTCTGTTTTTCCTAACATAGGAGTCTGAATAAACTGACAGCACAATTTGTGCTTATATAAAACTTATACCATTTAATTATGTTACTTTCACCATTCAGAAAAGATATTTTTACCATGAAGTTTGATTTTGTAGAGATATTCTAAGTACCTATCAGCTATATTATGAGATAAAAATTTTTCCTCTCATTATCTTTGAATATTAGACTGTTAGCATAATCTACTCTAAAACTAATTTGATACTTTTAATAGAAAAATCTTAATCTAAAGGACAGGTTTCATATTCTAACAGAAGTTATTATAGTTGCATACCATTTTTGTGATTCTGGTATAAGCATGAGTATTAAATTCTATTCTAAAACACAGTGAAGTATATGAGACTTCGAATATTTGGATGTGCATTTTATACACTTTGCATGGATATAAGTACAGTATACATGGCAAAAAATTCCCTGTACTATAATTTAACCAAAACAACTGAGAATATTTCAACATTAAATATAAAGCAGAAATAATGATTTTTTTTAACCTTTTTAATTTTATTTTCCCCCCCTTATTGCCTTCCTTCCACCTCCCCAAACCCCCTCCTGCTAGAAATAATGACTTTTTAACCACACTTGGCTAGTATGTGCAATTTAAACCAATGATAAATATCCAATAAGGCTATAAAATGTTCATAATAAAACAAATCCTATTAAGTATCAGTAAGCTTTTATATATCTATTCCTCACATAGATAGGTTGTTTCACAGCCATTCTTTATTGCCTCTTAAAGGATCAAACATCATAATCAGATATTAATAGTTTTAGGCCCTGGCCGGGTTAGACCATTGTCCCAATATGCCAAGGTTATGGGTTCAATAACCCATACACATACAACCAATAAATGCATAAATAAGTGGAACAACAAATCAATATTTCTCTCTCTCCCTTCCTCCCTCTCTAAAAATCAATATTTTTAAAAAAGGAAGAGTCTTAATTAGACTTACTGGTAACCAGATCTTACATCAGAGTCAAAATTTTAAGTCCCAGTTATTCCACTTAAATGTCTTGCTGAAATCCCATTAAAATGGTTGCCATTTTCCAAGGATTAATGATTTACTTCAAATATTTTTTGAGTATTTATTCTAGGCCAGGTGTTAAGGAAGTTGTCCTGCCTTCATGGAGTTTACAATCTAGCAAAGAACCTAAGGATGATAAAAGAAATATTTTACTCTTTCCTCTGTTTGCTGCCTCATATTTTGCAAGTTGATTCTATAAACCATTTCTGGTGAGAAAAGCCAGCTTCCATCTTTAATTTGAAGAATCATCTACATCTTCATACTGCAAAGAAAAAAAGGTATTTTTAATTAATATTGCTCTGAATATGTGAAAATAGAGTAAACCACTTAAAATTTAAACATCACTTCAGAATAGTGTTTCAGTGCTCTTTCTTACATAGCCCTAGATCAGTGCTATTCAAATACTATTGCAATCAAAGGTTTGTCTAAAAACTATATTCTCATGTTTTAAAATTAGTTTTGTTTAATTACAGGTAAATTCTTAATATAGCATTACCATCTGCTTTGTAATTGTTTGACTCCGCAAAAATCAGAAGGCACTAACGGACAGCCAACCCATCCCCATGGTGCTCTGAGTGAAGACAAGTCAGCTTAGATATATGATGGACTAAAATCCCACTACCTAAGGCTCCAAGCAGTGAGAGGAACAGCCATCAAAGCTTATCTCCAACCATTTTAACAAACATTTTAATAAATGGTTTAAAAAGTATATATTAAAGCCTGGCCATTGTGGCTCAATGGTTGAGCACTGACCCATGAACTAAGATGTCCCAGTTCGATTCAAGTCAGGGCACATGCCCCAGTTGTAGGCTTGATTCCCAGTAAGGGACATGCAGGAGGCAGCTGATTGATGATGTTCCTCATTGATGTTTTTATCTCTCTATCCCTCTCTCTTCTTCTCTCTCTAAAAATCAATTTAAAAAAATTTTTTTAAGTATTTACTAAAGACAGCAAGTGACATAGGAATCACTACACCTAAATTTTTAAAGAGTCAGTCAAGAACTAAACCATTAAATATCAACTGGTCCAGCTAGATAGACAAAATAAGGAATTAGATGATAAATAAATTAGTGGCAAAAACAATTAACTAAAGAAAATGTTATTGGGTCCTGGCTGGGTGGCTCGGTTGGCTGGAGTGTCATCCTACACACCAAAAGGCTTAGGGGTCAATTCCTGGTCAAAGTGCATACTGGAGGCAACTGATCAATGTCACTCTCTCCCCCTTCCTCTCTCTCTAAAAATCAGTAAAAACATATCCTCTGGTAAGGATTTTAAAAAAAGAAAATGTTATTTGACCAATTGTATAGGGATACACACTAAAGTCCTTATCATATTTTGCCTAATTCTAATTAAATTAGGCTTTAGGGTAAAAGATGAGGGGTAGGCTAATTGGAAGATGCACATAAGCAATAAACAAAGATCCTCCGACAACCTATTACGCAGATATAACTGGTTAAGTGATAGAGGAAGGGTTTGAACCCAGTCTGACTCCAGAACCCATATATAACTACTATACTATGCTACCTCTCAACATCTTTAATTGACTTTAAAAATTAAATTTTTAGCACCTTAGCAGAACTAGCCATGCCACAAAGCAGAATTTTCAAAGATTCATGTTATGTCAAAGCTTCTCAATTTCAATATAAGCCTTACCATAAAAGAAAAATGTTGTCATCATCTATTGTATATCTAAGACTCATAACACCCAAGAGTCTCAAGGCTGGGAAAGAAGTTTCTACAAACTCAGATGTAGTTTTGGTCTCCTGAAGTTTCATTTCTGCAAAAGACATAGAGCCAAAGGCTAAAAAAGTATTGCAAGTGCTGATGTTACTTTGAATTGTTTCTATTTCCTGTATTTCACCCTCATATGTACCCCAATTCTCTGCAAAAACATGCAGGCACAGGTAAAAATTACAAACTTGTCCCATATAGGTTGCTTAAAAATAACTCTTTCAATTATATATGAATATAATAAAGTAGGAAAATACAAGTTAACAAGATCACCCATAGAACCCAATTCTAGAGACAATAACCGATAGTATTTGAGTATATCCTTTCAGATGATTTCTCAAGTAATAAGTATATACAAACATGTAGGGAGAAAAAGGATTATATGTTTTGCTCTGTAACTTGTTTTTAACTTAATGTATTATAAATACTCTTCCATTTCAAGAAAGGTAAACCTGTACCATAACTTCTAAGTGACTATATAGTTTTGTATTCTATAATCTTGACAAAATTGATTTAACCAACTCAAGGATTCTCTTAATCTTATAGACTAGTAAAATAGTGATTAGTTAAAAACTGCCAAGCAGTTGACAGAATTATACCAGTTGTCAGTGCTTTTTCTGTACTGTTTGAATTTTTAGATTAAAGCACAACAAAGTGTTGTAGTATCAAATTCGCAAAGATTTAGGAATTACTTGGGATCATGGGATAGATCCCAGTAAGTATTCCAAGAAGCAGAATTCAATTCCAGGTGTTTGCCCTACCTTTAGTCTGCTCAGAGCATGTGTTTAATCAGGATGATCAGCTGAAACACGGACTTAACATGCATTTCATCATGGCAAACTGTAAATGACTGGTGAAGGGCAAACCAACACTGGCTCCTCGGCCCTAAACCAGGAAAGCCTGTTAAAGTTGGAACTAAGGCTTTTTCAACTACTAAATTTCAGCCACTAAGAACACTGGTCCCCAAAACTTGCTCGGTGACTGGAAATCCAAATGAGATAAAAAAATGAAGGTTTTTCTTTCACACTTACCTCTGGTAGCAGATGAATCCAGCTTCTATCTAGGAACAAAGTTGAACTATAGGATCAACTACCTAGCATCATCTCTGAAAAATTAAAAATTAAAGGTTATGATTACAAGACTTGAATGTACACCAGCCTACTCCACACCAAGTCATACCCATTCAGCCTCAAGGAAAATTGTTTATTCATACACACACACACACACACACACCTTTATTGATTTCAGAGAGAGGGGCAGAGAGAGAGAGAAACATCAATGATGAGAGAGTCGTCATTTATTGGCTGCCTCCTGCACCCCCCTGGCTGAGGATGAAGCCCGCAACCCGGGCGTGTGCCCTGACCGTGAAGTGAACCTCTATCTCCTGGATCCTAGGCCGATTCTTTATTTGAATCTCCATTCAATAATATAAATTGACCCATCTATTTGCAGAATGTCATCAAATGCTCAAACTCAGTACCAGATTAGGGCAGAACTTCTAAATAAGCTCAGTTTTTCGTATAAATTTAAAAGTTTGGGTAAAGCTATACAATAAGTCTAACCATCCTCTGACAGGTTATACGGTCAACAGTCTCACATTAAGAGAACAGGTTTGCAAAAGGAAAAAGCCATGTGCNGGTTAACAGTCTCACATTAAGAGAACAGGTTTGCAAAAGGAAAAAGCCATGTGCTGGCTGCCATGGGAACAAATGCAGGGAGATGAGGCATAAATGGCAGGGTTACTGCCAGCCTTTCAACTCTATAGGTATGTGTAACTGCAGAACACATGTAACTAGTCATTAAATTCACAAAAATCCTTTAAAAATTAAAAGGAAAGAACAAGGCTAAGATTCAGGTAAATGAAAAGATAATCCAAAATAGTCCATTTTTTCAAAGCATATTTCAATTTCATTTGAGTAATACCAATTATATTTAACTTTTACTATGGGTAAACTCTTTATCATAATTAAAGAAAACCTTCCCTTGACATGGCAAAATTGAATTTGCATAACTTGGAGCCTAAGTTGACCACAAGATGGCAATATAAGAAATTTCAATTTCCTCTTCCAGAGCTTGAGTGTAATCTGAATTTTCAGGTGAAACAGACTGGACACAAAGTTCATCGCTGCAGACAACCTTCAGACTATACCCTATTCTTCACCTAATTACTAACTAGAAATTTTTTTCTCGTACATTTCATGGTCATTTAAAACATATTAAAAATATTACAATTATATTTTTATCATGTTCCTTTTCATGCAGCAATGCTTGAATTTAAAACTTCGTAACCTCAAATACAATCTAGTTGGAAAGATAAGATTCATGAAAATTAATGTCCATGTTAAGTACCAAATAAGGGTAGAGAGAGTAAGTAATGTTAGGAAAAAATCATTGGGCAAGGAAAACTTCATGAAGAAAAAGGTAGGTCTTGAATGAGCCTTAAAATTGCACTTAAAATAATACTGTATTGAATAATGGAAAGTTGTTGAGAAGATAGATCTTAGAAGTCCTNTAATACCGTATTGAATAATGGAAAGTTGCTGAGAAGATAGATCTTAGAAGTCCTCATCACAAGGAAAAAAATGTATTGTNATAATACTGTATTGAATAATGGAAAGTTGTTGAGAAGATAGATCTTAGAAGTCCTCATCACAAGGAAAAAAATGTATTGTGATGATCATTTCACAATATATACAAATATTGAATCATGTTGCATACCTGAAATTAATGTTGTATCACTTATATCTCAATTTTTAAAAATTGCACCGTCCAATAGGTTATACCACACATAGCCATGTAAATTAAAATTAAGTTAAAAACAAAATTCCCCAGCCAGTCACTTTTTAGTTGCTTAATATCCACATTTGGCTAATGGCTACATATTGAACATTACAAATAGAGAACATTTCCATCACAGAAAGTTCTATTGCCAGCAATGCCTTGAAGGGTAGATATGACTAAAATAAGCTGATGAAACTATTGAAATCATTTTACTCAAACTTTACAGCAACCCATATTTACAAGAAAATTTGAGGCTCAGAAAAGTTAAATTTTCTAGTGTCACCTAGCTATTAAGAGCTAGGATTTAAATCCAGTACTGTCAAAACTCCCTTTTTTCACTTCAACATGCCACTACCTACATGAAATAAGCAGAGCTACAGAAGGTGGTTTGCTTGACGTAATGAGAATAACTTACTATAGGTTGGAAAGAAACTGAGATGTTTCAAATACCTCAGAGACATAATCAAAGTGTTATTTTACCCTTTGTTATTTTAGTTGAGTGCTTTAATTATGTAAAATGCCTTCAGAGCAGCAGCATTTGAGATTAACTAAGGAAATGTAGATAGGAAGCAAAACATGAAGTCAGAGGTTTCTGCAGTTTTAATGTCTACCTCAAAACTCCATGATCCAAATACATTTTTGTATTTGGAAGAATAATTACAGATTTAAAAGTGCAACTTCTCTGTCTCATCTCACAAACAAAACACAGATTACAAAGGGCCTGGTCTTTGTTCTTACCACATAGCACAAAGCCTAGCACGTAAATCCCAATGTTAAATGTGCAATGCCTTCCCCAAAATATGATGAGAATTCTAGTCATGCTTCAGCAAATGCCATTCTACCACGTGAATGGCCACTTCATATTTACTGAGTATTTACTTAGTATAAAGTAAATACTTTGTAAATCTTCCATAAACAATCAGTGACCACTCCTTTGTTCCCTGTGAAGAATGCTTCAAAGTATTGGTGCTCATAGCCAAAGGGTTCATTTTATATATGAGAACAGGTACTTCAAGAAGGCCTGATACAAACTAAAAGTTGTTAATACTAAATCAACTGATGCTTGTTTTATTATACTACCACTCAGTTTTACTTGGTGCCTACTGTGTGTCTAGCAATTTGGGATGCTACAGGAACTCAAAGAACCTCCTATATTTTCTTGATAGAAAAGACACTTATGTGTGACAGAGAACACTTTAAGGCATCGTATCTTGGTCAGAGCTGAAGTACTTGCCTTTATGGTCCAATCAGCGCATAACCATTCCTACTGAGAATGTCCAAATCCAAGCCCACTTGATTTTTAGGGGGTCTGCAGCAGACGTAATAGAGGCTTTCAAATGCCACTTCTGGGCTGGCACACAGGGTGCTGAAGACCCAGGTCTTTCTTCTTCAGTGGATTCCATCTTTAACCTGGAGCAAAGGAAAATAAACTGGTTGCTTTGCACAGTTCTCTTTTCGAGTTAACTCTATAGGGCGCTACTCTCAGAACAGACTCCCAAGTTTTGTCCCCCACCCACCGTCAGCTACTTTAGCCAGGAACAGTGATTGTTATAACGTCTCAGTGCAGGAGGAATCCACTCAGAGCATATATGAAATAAAAGTGAGATCAGAAACATGACTAACCATGCAGTTTAGCCCAAGAGACCACCATTTCACTCAGTCCCATTGCTGGTGGAGCAAATGAAAATACAGAGCCTGAGGGCTTTGGGTCAAAACAGCAGGAAGGAATAACTTGAAATCAGGTTGCAAGAGGAAGTAAAGCCTTCTACTCTGCTAACTTGATATTTTACCTATTTCGTACTTTGCCTATCTTAGAATATATAAAGCACTTCATATATTACATCATTTTGCAAGTACTGTGTCATCTCCATTTTACAAATAATGCAAGCAAGGTTAGAGAGACTAAATGGCAGGCAACTTAGCTTAGTGGTTAAGATAATGGATGTAAGTTGGGCAGAAATGGACATGAATCTTGGGTCCCCTACATATTTGCTGTGACCTTGGGGAAGGTATGCAACTTCCCTAAGCCTCAGATTCCCTTCTGTAAAATGAAGACAAATACCACCTACCTCCTAGAACTGTTGTGAAGATTAAATGAGGTAAAATATATAAGACTTGAATGTTTGCCCTGGCCAGTGTGACTCAGTAGTTAGAGCCTTGGCCCAAAAACCAAAGGGTCTTGGGTTTGATTCCCAGTCAAGGGCACGTACCTGGGTTGCAGGTTTGATCCCAGGCCCAGTTGGGGCACATTTGGAAGGCAACCAACTGGTGTGTTTCTCTCACATGGATGTTTCTCACTCTCCCCCTCTCTAAAAATCAATGGAAAATATATCCTCAGGTGGGGATTAACAACAAAAACTTTAATATGTTGTTCCTATTAAGTGTCTAAGCTCAACCACCTAATGAGTAGAAATGCAGATATTCTACTTAAAAATTTCACTTTCCATAACAATCTTGAAACCAGGAAAGTCACTCATAAGGTCCCTTCCAAATCCAAGATTTGACATCTTTTAAGAGAATTTAGTTCCCTGTTCCCCTCATTCCCTAACACTTAATAGTGAAAACTCCAATGTGGTCTATATAAAGTTACTCAAAAATGAAAGCATACTTCCACTGGAAAGAAATTAATTTTTCTCCCAATCAGCAGAGCTTCCTCACTAGAAAACTAGATGTTTCACAAGACATGATCTTAGCTTTCTAAGACTTTAAAAACAGCTTTGGAGAGCCCTGGCTAGTGCTGTTCAGTGGTTAGAGCATCGGCCCTCGAACATGTGGGAGGCAACCAATGGGTGTCTCTCTCACATCTATGTTCCTCTTTCTCTCCCATCCCTTCCTTCCACTCTCTTTAAAAAAATCAATGGAAAAATATCCTTGGGTAAGGATTAACAAAACAAAAAAAGCTTTGGAGAAATTCCCAGAGGCTTCCTTTTTTATTTTGCATGTTTACATCCCCCCAAAATTAGTTTTTCCTAACTTAATGCTAAGATATGAGTTTACTCACTCAACACCATTTCAGGAAAATATCTTGCACACATTTTGCTAAATAAACACTGCAAGCATGCTCCTTCTCGCCTTGTGAATAAAGACCACATGGTTTCTCTGATTAATGTTGCCATTCCTTCTTGACATTAAATCCCTTAAACTGAAAATGTACTCACATAAAAGCCACCAACATGGTGTTGCTTTTAATAGAAAATTCTTTATTGCTCAAGATATTTATGGTGTTGGTTGGTTTCTAGTCATCACTATGTTCACAAAATAAATTTAAGTAACAGGAAACATGCACATTGAGAGTCCTTATAAACAAGGACATACCAAAACCCGAA